GCTAAAAACTATGAATTCTACTACCACCTTAGGCATGAAGGCCAGAAGGGAGACTTTGGGCCTGTAACTCACAGTCCAACTCACAAGTTGTTGTTGAAAGAATATAGGAAGATAAAGAAGCATAAGATAGATTAGCTGCCTTGAGATATTTATAAAAATAATAAAGGCAAAATTAATATGATGAAGAAAGGCAGGTTACAGATTGAATCAAATCCAAAATCATGACATCAGAGTTTATGTACCAAATAGGCCATGACAGTGCCCAAGCTCAAATTCCTCCTGAGACAGGATATTCATAGATAACTTTAGGTGGGTCTCTTATACATATATTAAGACTGAAATGGTATCTTTTACTTCTGTTCAATTGTGTCTGATTCTTAGAAACCTCTTGGACAAATCCCTGCAGTTTTCTTGGCAATTTTTCCAGAAATGGCTTGCTACTGCCCCTTTCCTAGGGCTGGAAAGAGAGTGATCAGCCCAAGGTCATGCACCTGGCTGAGTGACCAAGGTGGGACTGGAACACAGTTTCCCTGTTTCTAGTCTGATGTCTTAAGCTCAACTCCAAACTGGCTCTTACAATGTTGCAATCGTAACACTCATTTATACTAAGCCTCTAAACTTAAGAAAACACTGGTTTAACAGCTTCCTTTTGAGTAGATAGGAAGCAGTAATGGTGTTTTAACCATTTCAAGGTACATTAACCCCAGCACTTGTCTTTTTACATATTTTTGTTTACACTTTTCCCAGTGCCAGATCACCAAGGGTTGATGGGAGTTGAAGTCCAAAGTTCCTGAAGAGCATCTTAAAGAAAGGGTAAAAGCCCCAAACTAAGAATTTGGCCAAGTTCATTGGTTGGAGGTGACTTCCAGTTTTGTGTAGTCTTTTCATACTATGCCCTAGAGAGTAAAAGTACCTAGAAGTTTAGAATTATTATGTTTGCAATACTGTTAAGAGCTAATTTGGTGTACTAAGTACAGTTTGGTGTACTGAGTACTTTTACCCAGAAGCAGGGAAGCTTTTTACACACTGAAAGTCATTTTTTCTTTATTAATTTTTCATTTTTCCTCGTACAAAGCAGCCTGGATGCCAAAAGCATCCAGAAGCTCCCTTATAACTTCCTTGGGAGATCAACCCTTCCGAGCTAAACTTATCAAAGTCTTTCTAACCGAAGTCTTTTCTGGGTTCCTTTTAAAAATAAACACCAGAGAGGAGGAAATAACAAAACGACTGCAATGAATAAACGAGGGCGGCGTCTTGGAAGTCCCAAGATGGGAGCGCCAGATAGCTCAGCGCCACCCACAGCCACCGGGAAAACCTCTCTGTCTCTATCGCGTAAAACCGGGCTGCCCTCAACCTTTCTCGGAGCCCACCTGGCAGGGCTGTTGGGACGATAAAGCGAACTGGGAGGAGGTGAGGGGCGGGCGGGCGAGGCGGAACCAGAGGAAACCCGATGAAGACCATTCGGGGGAAAGGGAGCTAAGCTGCCTCCTTTCGGGGTGTCGAGAAAGGCGGTGCGCGGGGGAGCCCGGATAGCGTCCCCACAAAACGGAGCCGGGGAAGAGATCGGAGGGGACGACGGGACGACGAGGAGCGTCCCACGAAAGGGCAGTGGGGACCCCTCTTCCTGGGAAAGAAAGGCAAAGGAGCGAGGACAGTGATTTCAGGAGGGTCGCGGTCGGTCCCGGTCCCGGCCCCGCTCCCGTAGGCGGCTGCCCTCCCCGACTCACCATCTCTGCAGATGCAGCCTCAGCCCAGACCCCCCAGAGAGGAAAAAGCAGCAAAACCCCCGGTTTCCCAACATGCACTGCAATCTCGGTATATAACCCAACCCGGTTTAGGGGTGAAAGAATACTGTGGCGCATGCGCCCCATTCGACGCTCGCCTTACGGCTTTCGGTCGGAAAAAAAAAAAAAAAGACCATAGACGGCCCATAGAAGCGCTCGCGGAAGCAGCCGCCGGAAGAAAAGTCGGGTCAACGACACGGAAGCGCTCGCTTGTCATCTTAGGAGAGGCAACTTGAAGCCTCGCCCAGTTTGGGAAGGTCGTCGCGGCTTAAAGCGCCGCCACTTTCCAAGGGCTTTCTTTCATGACTCGACTACTCTCTATGGTTGCTTCCGTTAGAGTGCGGAAGTTAAACGTTGCCTTTGCGGGGTGTTTTTTTTTTTTTTTTGCCGCGGCTTGTGGGTTTTTGTTTTTTCTTTGGAAAGGACTTTAATCTTTTTTTATAAGCTTAACACTGAATGGTGGCGAGAATAAAATGGGAATTGTCTTAAGGAAGCAATTCCCGTTTTAGGCCTCTCCGAACTAAAAGTGATTCAAAAGTCAAGTGCAAGGCTCCATATATTTAATTACGTAGGACGGTGGCTGCCATTTTGAGAAGGGCATTTGTGGCTTGTCTATAAAGCCCCATTTTGTAACATGGAGTTTCATGATTCTGGGCTGCATACTCGGGATTTTGGCTTTTTCAGTGCTTTGCAGCAGCACGCAACCTGTAAAAAAACGAAACCACGTCCCCATCGTTTCCCCAGTTGTGCTGTATTACAAATCATTGAATTATCGGGAAATACTTAAAAAAATAGGGAGTTGTGTTCCTGTACACCTAAAATAGGTGTTATCACACCTGCCTTTAATGTAATCTTAATGTAAACCTTCTCCCAAAAATTCAAACACCAAAATGAACCCAAAAGAACAATGGAAACACTAATTAAACTTTCAAAAAGGTGGGTTTATTGCAAATATGTAGTCAAGAGGTTCTTCACACTGTTGTAAGAATTATCCTTCTGGGTTCAGTTCCAAGTGGGGAAAAAGTCACTGGGAACATAGAGGCTGCTTGGAAAGATGGTTTAATGGAGGAGACTACATGGCTTGGAGCTCCAAAGAAGGAAGGATGATCGCATTCTTCAAGGTGAAGGAAGATATCAAGAAGGGCTGACATGCTGAGGTGCCTGGGTTTTATAACCTTTCTTGGGATTTGAATTGGAGCTTGTATTCTGATTGGTTGTCAGACTCCCATGGGGCCATGCAGGGGCAACTTGTAGGCTGTCCTGAGTTCCAGGCTTGGTTGAGCCTTCTGGATGATGATGTGCTGAAAAGGGCTTTTGGGCAATTGCTATAGTTTTACCTGGATATCTTTGTTATGTAAAGTATTCTGGTCCAGGCCTTAATGGCCCACCCATTAACAAAAGTTGGGGAGAGCTTCTACTTCTGAGGTGAGTTTCTGCTTCTGAGTTTCTACTCTTTTTAGATGAAATATTCTGCCTTTTTAATATTTCCGAGGCTATTTCAATTTTCTAGGAGAGGGGTGGGTGATCTTCACCTTCCAAGGGAGGTATGCTTCACAGTTTGAGAGATATGCCTTATTGGGGTAGGTTGCCACATCTGAGTCATCCTAACATTTTGTTTGCCAAAGAAAAAGCTGCATTTCCATGTGTATCTAGTACATTTCCAATCTGTAACTATAATGCAGTAATATTTTTGACTAATAGCCCATAATGTAAATTGGATTTGTCATTTAAGGCTGTAGAAATTCAAAACTTCTGTTTCCTCATTTTCTGAGTAGCTTAGCATACTGAAGAAAGGACTTGAAAGTTCTCCCCCCCCCCCCCAAATAGGTAAGTTTTCCAACAGAAAAATATTGTCATCTTTCCACAGTCAAATGTGATACAGCTCATACTACCGATAGTGCTCGATGAACTTCACTAAAATAGAATATCAATAAGAGATACTTGGATATTTGTCATCATCTTCAACAGTGGTCAGTTTAGCAGTCTGTGCTAAATCAAACATAGTGTACAAAATACAATTGTTTGGATTCACAACATGTGCTAAGCAAAGCCCAAACTACATCATGCACCAATAGATTCTATGGGCCCCAGTTGAAAAGTACCATAAATATTGTGTACAAAATACTGTTGGAAGAATTATCCTTCTGGGTTCAGTTCCAAATGGGGAAAAAGACACTGGAAACATGGTGGCTGTTTGGAAGGTTTAATAATGGACAGGACCACATGGCCTGGAGCTCTTAAAGTGAAAAGGAAGGATGATCAATCACATGCTTCAAGGTGAAGGAAGAGATCAAGAAAGGACTGATAATGCTGAGAGTGCCTGGGTTTTATAACCTTTGTTGGGATTTGAATTGGAGCTTGTATTCTGATTGGTTGTCAGACTCCCATGGGGCCATGCAGGGGCAACTTGTAAGCTGTCCTGAGTTCCAGGCTTGGTTGAGCCTTGCTGGATGATGATGCACTGAAAAGGGCTTTTGGCAATTGCTATAGCTTTACCTGGAGATCTTTGTTATGTAAAGTATTCTGGCCCAGGCCTTAATGCCCCACGCATTAACAAAGGTGGGGGTGAGTTTCTGCTTCTGAGGTGAGTTTCTGCTTCTGAGTTTCTACTCTTTTTAGATGAAATATTCTGCCTTTTTAATATTTCCTAGGATATTTCAATTTTCTAGGAGAAGGGTGGGTGCTAACTTCCTACAATACAATTTTTTACATTCATACGTGGTAAGTAAAACTAAGCAACATCCGGCACCAATAGGTTGTATGGACCCACTTAATAATGGAAAAGTACATTGGACTGCCTAGAAGAAGCTAGGTAAAGTGCAAATGTTTTAAACAATTTTAAAACCAAGACTTAGAAGTGCTACAATGGAACAAAAACACAGAGTAACCAAGTGCTTATATTTATATATTTCACCACCAGATGGCAGAACATACTTTAGTATCTTAGATCTTATGTGATAAGTGAGATTTTCATCATTTCCCTCTTTTCCCTACCAAATTGGTCAATATTTCATAGTACTTGACTCTCACTGGAACAGATGAAACCCTGCTTTTCTGCAGTCTGTGGTGAACTTAAGCAACTATGTTGTGATATATACTTCTTGTTTCCCCAAAAGAATCTGACATGATCAATCCCTTGGTCAACAGCTTGCTGAAAGGAAAGTAGCTTCATAGTATTGCTGGTACACACGTCTAGAGTGATTGAGGGTGGGTATTTCATAGGAAGAGTGGTGTAAAAATCAGCAAAAGAAGAGTCATCCTGGGGAAGTTTGAAAGTCCACCACTATTTATATTGCTTTGGATCCAATCTAGATAGAAAGGCACTGATGTATAGATGCCAAGTTGGTTGGGTTGAGCACAGCCTTCCCCCCAACTCACCACCCCAGCCAGTGTCCACACCCCATTGGATTTGCAAACTAAGGGTCCTCCAGAATCTCCCTGTGAAGAAAAAAGAGAACAAAGGGGTTACCTCCTGATAAAAAATATTCAGTGGAATAGGAATGAAGTTTTCAGCACATCTATTTCCTGTAGTTCCTATTTCAATATACAATCACTGCTTTATCCATGACTTTTACCCCTTGGTTCCTTCTAGACAAGGAACTGCCACAGTGCAATAAAATTTGCATGCAGAAAGACCTAGATTAAATCCCCTTAATGGTTAAGATGAGATAACAAGAACTTTATTGTCATTGTACAAGTACAACGAAACTGTGGATGTACCCCAGCAACTGTTCGCAATACAATAAAACCAGAGCACTTAAAAATGAAGATAAGAAAAATAGAGTACCCACGTCACTTAGGGTTAGACTCCCAATTTCTAAAGGAAGAAGTAAATCTGTCTCTTCTCTTGGCTTTGCTTCTGGACTGGCATAGAAACTTCTTCCGGTTACTGGGATGTGCTGAGGGATCTCTTTAAAAATAATGCAGAGTGTTGGCTCTCAATGAGATACATAGCACTAAAACTGCACCTCAGTGAAGGCAATCACATTTGTCTGATGTTAAAGCACCTTTAGGCAAAATATGGCAATCTTTCCCAGGCCTAATATTCATATCAGGGCTCTTGTTCATATGAGGAGTGCACTGGGCAGCAAACACAAAAGGAAACCTTAGCTAAAGCCTGGTGTTTGGCCAGCAAGTGACACACGGGGCCATGTGTAAAGAGAGAGAATTAAATGGCATCATTCTGAGAGTTTCTCCAACTCTGTCCACTTCATATGGACCTAATCCATGGAAAGAGCTGCTATGCAAAACACCCGTGACATTTTCAAGTGGTTTTTTTTTTTAGTTGCGGGTAGTCCTTGAAATTACAGTGGTAATTAGGACTGGAATCGCTGTCATTAAGTGATGTGTTTGTAAAGGGCGATGTCACAGGACTGTATCATTTAGTGATAGTAATCCAAGCAGTACCAGTTATTGTTGTAACCCCAAGACATGCAGGTTAAGTGAAAAGTGGTGGGAGTCCTAGGTAATGAGCACAGGGAGGTAGAGTGCTTTGTGGGGTAGGTGAATGAGGCTGGGGAAGGCCTTGAGAGGGTGCCTGCATGTGAGTTGCGGGAAGTGCGGGAGCGGGGGAGCCTTGGAGATCTGGTGATAGTGCAGGAAGGCTGGAGGATGGATGGCACTGTGAGTGCCAATGCAGGAAGTCTTAACAAAGAGACTTGCCATCTTCCCTGCCAAGGGAAATTGCCAAGAAACTACCAAGATTTTCCCATGAAGTCAGGAGGCAAGATGTAGTTTAATTTGAAGAATCTGAAGAATTTTATATAACTTGAAACAAATCATGTCCTTTTTTTCCTACTATATCCTAATTTTGTTGATGGTAGCATACCAGTTTTAATTTTAAAATATTTTTTAAAATAACTATCAACTTTGCTGATGGGAAATAATACCTTGTAAGATGAGAACCTGTATATATCATTGAAAGAGAACTTCAACTTCCTTAAAGCTAGCAAGTTTTCTTCATTTGAAAAAAAAGTGGAAAGAATTAGAGCAGAATTTTATGGTATATTCTACTGAAAAGGAATGGATTTATTGACATTTATTAGTTTTGGAAGATTGCAAAATTATTGGCATGTATTATATTTATTATATTTGTTTTTGCTCTCAGTGAAATTCCTGAGAAAAGATTAGTTAACTATTCATCTTCTGAGTAGATTAATAAACCCTATTGAACCCTGAGGGCATGAGTAAGTACATATCAAATCTTGATGTCAATCAGCAATTGACCTCCAGTGTACAGGAAGTGACCACATGCATGCTTTTGGATGTGGACTACACTTTTCATCTGTTTTAAACTTTTAGAAATCCAATCTCTGTTTACAGATGCTGTAAAAAATATAATTGAAAAATCTCAGGTCATTTTGTAAAAGTGCATCTCAACAATTCCAAAATTTGATAGTAAAAATGAATATTAAAATACTCACTTATGTAATTTCTGCATCTTCCTTCAACCTTGTTGCCAAAGTTGATTGGGAGGTGGAATGTGCCAGAGATTATATATATTGCTGTCCCTCAATTATGATGGGAATAATACAGACAACATGTTAAGCAGCACTGTGAATTTGAATCCTCCCAAATGCCTTGGAACATGAAGGCTGTGGATGTGGCCCATGTCTGCAATTTCTTAAAGCAGCTGTGGGAAGTGATGTACACCAAAACTACTTCCATCCTGTCATCCTTCTGAAATAGCCTAGACAAGATGCACACCCAGGAGGTCTAACTCTATTTTTATTATAAGGTTACATTAACAATCTATCAATCTGGAAGTACATCTCTTCTCCATGGTCCCTTCTGAGACACTTGTCATGCTCCATTTATTCAGAGGGTTTGGTGCCTCTTATCTGATTATTGCCTGGTCTGTGATTGTTCTTCCTGTCTCCCACATACCATTATATCCCCACTGTGCTCTTAAGCCTCTCATGGCCTTTACAAGGTCCTAATACTCCTAATATTTAAGCTTTTATAATAGTTTCCTAATTTCCTAATATTAAAACTTTTATATTGGCTGAGTGTTGTTGTGGCTTTGCATTCTGTATCATGCTAACCCAGCCCCTTTGATGTTTTTATGATTCAGTGTATTGTAAAAAAGGTTATTTCTTTAAACAGATTAAGCATATTGTATGATTACAGCAGGATGGCCTACTCATAAATTAACATAACCGAGTTTAATAAAGCTTTTTTCTAGGTATATGAAATTGAATGACTGACTGCCCCACACTCCCAAACTTACATGGTTATTGATTAAGATTTTTTTTCAATTGGTTGGAACCTGTTTTCCCTTTGCTCTTCCAGAGGGTAAAAGAGAACTGATCATTAGAGGATGGCTTCTCTAAGATAGGAAAGAAAGACTCCATGGGCCTCATACTTTCCATCAGGTTGAGGGTCACAGCAAGCTTTGCATTGCATTTCAAGGACCACTCTTGAAGTGGTTAAGGCCAAGCCCATTTTTGCTTTTCAAGATTGAAGTCATCCATTTTGCCTCAAGGCACCTGTTCTCTATGACCCCTCCTCCCCACAATTTCCTACTCAAAAAGAGGGAGATCCTGATGGATCATATTACTTAATATCACTTTGAATAGTGATCATTTCTCTCTTCATGTTCAGGAAAATCAGCATCCAAGAATAGATTACCAGTGGTGCAGATGTTTTTTTATGTATTTGAAAAAGTTTTATCATTGAAGAGAGGTAGACAGGTTACTTTTAGCCTGAAGAACCCCAAAGAAATTGTGGCCCATATTTTTGCACTCCTGGTCTTTTGAATCAGTTTAACAAATGCCTAATACATTTAACTCCTTCCAGAACCGTGAAGATACCTATACAACTTTCTTTTGGTTGTCCAGTATTTATCTTTGCGTGTCATTTTGACTTTCTAAAGAATAGATTTTAGAATATCCTACCTGGCAGGCATCCTTTCCACCTTCTTTGTACCCTGCACAGATCATATCAGCTTTGACAATATCAGTTTGTAACTGATATTTTTTGCTTATGTTATAGAGATTGTTGCAGGTCTTGCGATCTATGATTGGTACTTCCAGTTCCTGAAGGATTTGGGGTGATGCCAAGTTTACTGTAGAAGAGAAAAATGGGACAAGTTTCATTCCCAGAATGCAAAGACAACAGATTTATCTACAATACGTAGACTTCCAGATGTTGCTAAACCACAACTCCTAGCAGTCCCAACCAGGAAGATGACTGATTCTGGGAAATCTAATGTATTTCAGCAACATCTGGGCAGGTTTATAATGTGTACTTATGTGTGGAATATACCTTGCCACTTGTGTAATCTTGTTTGTTATTGTATATAGTTGGAGTCATGAAAAATTGTACTCCCCATTTTTTTAAACAGATGTATTTAAAAAAGACTTCCATTAGTTTGCCCTCAATGATACCTCAAAAAGCTTCTTCCAAACTAGTACTCTAACCATTTCCAGGTCAGTGCAAGCAATTCATCTGTACTTTGAAATCTACCATTCTCTTTACCACCTCTCCATGTATAGATTCATTTGATAGACACCACCTAAATTCTTTAGTTCTACAGTTCTATTAGGCTTCTTTATTCAAAACAAATTCAGTAAAACCAAACTTTTCATAGAGATGGACTTCCTCACTCAGTTTAGCAATAGCAATAGCACTTAGATTTACAGTATATACTGCTTCACAATGCTTTACAGCCTTCTCTAAATGGCTTACAGAGTCAGCATATTGCTCCCAACAATCTAGGTCCTCATTTTACTGACCTTGGAAGGACGGAAGGCTGATTCAATTTTGAGCCTATGAGAATCAAACTGCTGGCAGTCAGCAGAATTAGCCTGCAATACTGCATTCTAACCATTGCACCACCATGGATCACATTACTTTACTCCATGACAACTCTCATAAAGATTTTGCTGTCTATGATGCAACCAACACACATCAAGTCATGTTGAGGAAGACTATGGAAAGGCTTTAAAACCCACATAGGAAAAGCAACCTCGGCAGCTTTCTTTTCCTAAATAAAGATGTGTATGGCTGGGCACCAGGAAAGGAAAAAACAAGCAAGCAAGGAAGGAAGGAAGCAAGGAAGCAAGGAAACAAACAAACAAACAAACATCACACATAACCCAGCCTTCTGGGTCTCTTTGAGAACAATTAAACATGCTTCCTCCAGGTTTCCTCACCTGAAGACCCAATCTGTCCCCATCCAGTGACCCAGCACTTTGTATTTGCAGGAAACTCCACAGAAGATGCTGGCAAGCAGATGGGAAGGATATAGTTGTTGAAAGTCACTGGGGAATTCAGCTCCACTAAAGCAATGTCCCCACTGGAGGCCGCCTCTTTCGTGTAGTCAGGGTGGGAGATGATACGTTTAACATCCAATGTCACCATATTAGGAGAAGGGTCCAGGAGTTTATAAGCACCCAACTGTATTTCATAGGCTGCTTCAGGACTGAAAGTTGAGAATCAAAAGTGAAATATAAGCCTTTGCAAGAGTGTTTGCAGAATGTGGTTAAAAAACAACAACCAAGATCGTGACTGTGACAGATTGATCCAAATTCAATTCACTTTTTATATGCTTCCTTATATGGCCCATATAAAAAAACGAGAGGAATTTTCACTCTCAGAATTGCTATCTTGGTTTTTTGAAAACATATTTGTGAATAGCAACAGCACTTAGACATATACCACTTTACGGTGCTTTTACAGCCCTCTCTAAGCAGTTTTACAGTCAGCCTATTGCCCCCAACAATCTGGGTCCTCATTTTACCAACCTTGGAAGGATGGAAGGCTGAGTTAACCTTAAGCCTGGTGAGATTCAAACTGCCAAATTACAGGCAGCCAGCAAGCAGTAGAAGTAGCCTAAAGTACTGCACTCTAACCTGTGCCGCTACGGCTCATACCCTTGGAGCTAAAAACTCATCAACTCTTTAGTTAAAATTACTGTTGTACACAACTAAGATAGTGAATTAAGTTTCCTGGATCCAGTTGTGCATAGGGAATCTATTTCTCCCCCACTGCAAAGCCATGGATAGGTTATTGCTACTCAGGAAATAACTTTTCTTATGTATCATCAATGTCCATGATATTCCATTATTTCTTGCAAAGAGTCAATAAAGTTGTTCTCTCCCTGAATTCAAGCTATGATGTTGAATCCTTGTACATGAGAAATTATTGAGGGCCAATTTATGATTCTTTTCTCTTCAATGCAACCAAAGGAAAAAAGCTGTCTTCTGAAAGAAGTGAAATACTGCATGTTATATTTGTTAATATGTTTTATTTTTAAAAACCATAATAGTCTGAATCTGCTTTTCTCTGGGATATTTTCACTTTATTTATCAAATTTATTGGCTACCTAACTTACCACAGAGTAACTCTGGGAGACTTACAATATTAAAAGCTAAAACTATATAAATAAAATTCTATAAAAATATAAAAAATGCTCTTTAAGGTGCCTTTAGTTTTAACGAGTGTTTCTCAAATTTGACAACTTTAAGATATATGAAGTTTAATTTCAAAATTTCCCAGCTAGCATCAAGTTGATGCCAGGGTTGAGAAACACTGATTTAAACAGAAAGTATTGCATTTGGGTGGATTTTGCAAAGCATGACATTTTAGGTTTAAAAATGAAGAGAGGTTATTTTCTTCTACAGGTAGTCCTCAACTTACAACAGTTCACTTAGTGAAATTCAAAGTTACTCATTAGAAAAGTGAGTTATGACCATTTTTCATACTTTTGATCCCCATGGTCATGTGATTTACATTCAGAGGCTTGATAACTGATGCACATTTATAATGGGTGTAGTGTTCTGGGGTCATGTGATCATCTCTTGCAACCTTCTGACAAGCAAAGTCAATGGGGAAACCAGATTGACTTAACAACTTGTTAGCCATTTAACAACTGTAGTGATTCACTTAACAAATGTGGCAAGAAAAGTCATAAAATGGGGCAAAAACTCACTTAACAAATTTCTTACTGAACAATTTGTGTTCGGTTGTGGTCATAAGGTAAGGACTACCTGTATTCCTCTTTTCTGATACTCTGTCACTTTGCTTCCACATCAGTGTTTGAGGCCAAGCCCTCCACTTCCATTTACTGTATAGAAGATGGGTGTCAAACTTGATTGCGTCACGTGACCTATCACAACGTATCGTGACAATTTTTGCCTTTGCGGAGCCAGAGTGGGTGTCGCTTGCATGTAATGCAGCTGGACAGCAGGCCATCAGTTTGACAACCCTGGTATAGAAGCTGAATGGACTGGAAGATCTATCTTACCTCCATCTAGTTGGCTAATTTAGGGAGTTTCAGAAAGCCTGTGTGACTGACCCAGTTTATTTTTCTGGCATTATATGGTAGCTTCAGTATCTTTTGAGCAACTACTGCCTGAGGCAGTCTTGTTGCTCTGCCTGATGGGAAGACCATCAACCACCACACCCAACAATCTGCTTCTTTTGCCTTTCCTCAGTTGCTTGATTGCACTTCTTGAGACCCACAACTCTGATGACAGAATCATTCAGCCCAATTTCCAGCTTCCTCTGGAGCAAATCTCTGCAGTACCTGTGCCATAGTGTCTAATGTTCTAATGTCTACTCACAAATTGAAGCAGTGAGCGGCAGATATTACCCAGTTGGAGCTGATGAGGGAACCTCCACAAATGAGTTTGTTGGCTTGAAAAATGCTGACTTGCCAGGGCCATGTCCCCTCAAGAGCTGCTTGCCCTCCAACAATCCGTGATATCACAGGCTGCCCACAAGCTGGGAGGAAAGAAGATTTACAGCAAAAAGAATACTATGACCATCCAACAACATTTCTACTGGCAAACATTTCTACTATTTTCCCTTTTAATGTTAATTTGCTTTGAAATATTTCTATTAACATTCCACATTATGCATGAAAATCTTGGCTGAATGCTGTTAGAATCTAATGCCTATGCTACAGAACAGTGCTGGAAAACTTTGGAAAATGACACAGAGCTGCAAAAATAGGGCATTGGTGCAAAATAGCCAAAACTACATCAGGTATGGAGGCATGTGAGTGTTTCTCTATTCTTCCAGTTTTATCATTTGTTTATTAAAACAATCTCAAGTCTATTTTAGGGTGTCCAGTGATTTTGTTTTGGAATAACAAAATTGTTAATTTTCATTATTCATCCTAGAAGGGATTCTGAAGTCTGGAAAAATGGATTTGGGCTGGATGTAGCCTTGGAGCTATTGGTTGTCCACATTCAGATTTGATAAATAATCCCCTAATATGTTACTAACTTAAGCCTTTTTTCTGTGTTTGACAGTGAGTACCTTCAGTTACAGCTGGGGGTGATGAAGCTATACTCCAACGTGTTTAGTGGCTATCAGATTGGAGAAAGTGGTTTTATATTTGATAACCAGGATCATCAGTATCCAAAATTATATTTTTAAATTATATACTTTGGGATTCATCTAGTCCACAGGCAGAAATCTTGCTTGTTTCTGATTAATAACACGTCAATGTGATGTGTGGGCCCCAGTTAAAATTTAGATAGGAAACCACTAGCACATCCAATACTGTGAACTAGATTGGGAAGTTGAGAAAATGTCATGGAAAAAGTCAAAGACAAATCCCTTCCATGTTTCCATGGGAAAATCACATGGATGTATTTGTGTAGTCATCAGCAGTCAACCGTGGGTCATGAGAGTATATTGTATGTCAGCAGAATATCTGAGAAGAATAATTAGGGACATTAACAATGTCACTGAAGAAGATTGGTTGGATCTTTTAAGTCTGTACAATCTCTAATGTTTTATGCAATTTAATATCCATTTCTTCCTTTGCAGAAAGGTTTTCCACTGAAGGATAACACCTACCTGCTTCTACCTTAGCAGCACCTGAAGAAACAAAAACAAAGGAAAGTTATTTCAAAAATAGAATAGAAAACTACAAAAAGAGAAAGAACTGTATATGCAAGAGACTTTGATTGCAAACTCTTCTCAGTGGGTTATAAAATTAAATATGCCTGGCAATCATATTGCAGGTTTACATTTCTAGCAGAAATGTCAGAGTGCATGCAATGCCGAATTTCAACTTGGGTGTGTCAGAACTTGATCTTTAGGTACTTGATTTTAATTTTGGAAAATGACAATAGGAGTGTGTTCATTTGTAGACTGAATGGTGGTAATCCCATGTTGGCTTCTTCTAGGGACTTTAGGATCCCATCACTCTGGGAAAAAGCAAATGTATTTTATATTGATATAAAATATAAATATTTTATATCAATATAAAAGATAAATATAAAATATAAATTATATAAATATTTATATATTTATATGTATTTTATAGCCATATAAAAGTATTTTATTCCTATCTTCAAAAAGAGAGACTCCAGCCTAGTTGAAAATTATAGACCAATCTCATTATGATGTGTCATCTTCAAAGTCATGGAATCAATCATCAACCAATCCATTACCCTCCACTTAGAGACAAACAACTTACTCTATAACAAACAGTTTAATTTCAGGAAAACTTTGTCCTGTAATCTACAACTCCTACACTGCAAAAACATTTGGACTACACAACTCGACCAGGGTAAAACAATAGACCCAATTTACATAGACTTTTACAAAGCCTTTGATTCAGTGGTACACAACAAACTACTGTTAAAACTAAGTTCTTACAGCATTTCTGGATCACTGCACAAATGGATAGCTGCATTCCTGTCAAACAGGCAACAAGTAGTCAAAATAAGGAGTGCTCTATCAAACCTAGCACCAGTTAACAGTGGTATCCCCAAGATCACCACTGCCCCACTCTCATTCAGCATTCTAGGACACACACTTTCTAATTTACATAAATGACCTTTGCGATCATATTAAAAGCAACTGAGTCCTCTTAGCTGATGACATAAAACTATTTAACACCACTGACAATACTGCCCTACAAAGCGACCTTGATTATGTGTCAGAATGGTCGAACAATTGGTATCTTCAAATCTCAACCAACAAATGCTCTGTCTTACACATTGGCAACAAAAATTAGAACACTAAATACAAACTGGGAGGAAACAACTGCGTAGATGACCCTCACTCTGTCAAGGACCTAGGAGTACTCATTTCAAAAGATCTAAGCCCCAGTGTGATGACCTGGGGTGTGGCACAAAAGCAACACAGTCAAATAAAGAGTCCCTTTATTAGCTCCAACTTTGCCCCCAATGTCCAGGTTACCTTTGGCTGGAGAAAAACTCTCCCAGGAACAGTCTTTAAATGGAGGAAGTTCAATCTGAAAACAAAGTACATACAAACTATAACTAAAAATCCAAACAAACCAAGCTGCAGTAATTAATGTGACAGGACAGAAGAAGGAATTGCAGACTTGAAAGCACAGTAACACACACATAGTTGGGAAGATGCCAGGAACTCAGGTAAGCCTCAACGAAACCAGATAATTAACAATTTTGTTAGATATTTACAGAGTCACTCCTGATTGGTTGGTCCGTGATGGTGGGAATTTACAGAGCCATCACTGGTTGTAGCCGCGAGCAGCTCACCTGTAAAAGGAGCTGCCATGGCTGCCGGAACAGTCCTGGACAATGCAATAAAGAAGCTAAGCAATCTGAGCCTCCTGCGTGATCTCTCACCCACAACCTAACACGTGCGACGAGGATGGGATGCTGAGAGAAGCGGGACCATGAACACATGGCTAACCAACCAGACAAAGAACTCAACATGGCCAGGAACAATACGTCACCCACACCGTTCGACCCGACGACTGAGGACTGGGAATCCTACGTTGATAGATTCCAGATGTTCCTGGAAAGCAGCGACCTGAACATTACAGAACAGAGGAAATGAGCCATCTTCCTCACGCATTGTGGCCCTGCCGTTTTCAAGATGGCTAAAGCTCTTGCAGCCCCAAGAGATGTAAAAACAATGGCCTGGCTAGATTTAGAGACAATTCTGAGGGTCCATTACACACCACCGGTATCCAGTCTAATCAAGAGACACGAGTTCTACCAGAGAGACCAGAAGGATGGAGAGAGCATCAACGATTTTGTTGCAAGCCTGAGGGACCTTGCCAGAGCATGGGAATTCCTGAATGTGGACGAGATGATGAGGGATCGTGTAGTTCTCGGACTTAGGGACCTGACACTACAGAGCCACCTCCTAACAAAGCCTAAAATAAACTAAAGGAGGCCATCGAAGGAGCATCAGCCGTAGAAGCGTCCCAGAAGTCCGCCACAGGCATGAGGAAGATGAATAAGACTCCGAACCCCCCCCAGAAAGAGGCCGCCACCATTCACCATGAGGACCTTGAGTCTGAGTCAGGATCGGCCGACGATCAGGAAGTGAACCAACTACACCCAGAAAGGTGCCAGAAAAAACAAGAAAAGAAGTGGAAGGAATTTTGGTGTGCGGGCTGCGAGGGAAATCACCTCCAATCGGAATGCCGTTTCTGTGATGCCATCTGCCAATGATGCGAGCGAAGAGGACATTGTGAGGGCATGTCGAGCATTCAAGCCAAGCAGCAGAAGGCCAACACAAGGCACACCTCCAAGGAACTGAGAAAATCAACCCAAGAACCACCAGAGCCAATTCAGCCAGAACTGATGGAGCAACAAGTCAACCACAACGAGGAGCGAAATGCACCAGACCGTGACAGTGGGCCCCTCCAGTACGGCAAAGTCCACGTTCAAGTCACAATAGAAGGTAAACAATGTCAGATGGAAGTGGATTCTGGATCTCTTCTGTCAATGGTATCATGGGACACCATCAAAAGTCTAATTCCCAACCTGACAAAGGGCCAGTTGAGCAAACAAAGAATAACCCTAAAGGACTATCAAGGGAACAAGATTCCAGTCATTGGCATAGGTGAATTCCAAGTGACCTTCCAACACTACTCCGGAATCCTGCCATTAACCATGGTTGACTGGGACCGGCTAAGCCTGCTGGGACTCGCATGGTTCAAGCCGTTGGGGATCGATTTCACTGGAATCCACAGCATCACAGAAAGCAAGTGGGAAGACAACCTGATGGAGGAGTTCCGGGAAGTATTCGATGAAAAATTGGGCAAGTACTTGGAGTCCCCTATTTCTTTTAACCTAGACCCAAACATAGCCCCAGTTAGATTAAAGGCGAGGTGAGTTCCATTCGCGCTTAAACCAAAAATAGATGAGCAATTAGACAAGCTCATTTCCCAAGGAATCCTAGAACCCATAGACCATGCAAAATGGGAAACCCCCATCGTCATACCTATAAAGCCAGATGGATCTCTGCACATCTGTGCTGACTATGGGGCGACCCTTAACTGCGCACTAAAACAGAGTGCATACCCCGTCCCAGTGGTACAACACCTTTTATGCTCCCTGGGGCGGTGGAAGATCTTTGCAAAACTTGATCTCACACAAGCCTACCAGCAATTACTGGTAGATGCTGAGACGGCGGAAGCATAGACAATCGTAACACACCGAGGAGCTTTCAAATGTAACTGCCTACAATTTGGGGTTAGTGTTGCCCTGGGGCTATTCCAGAGCCTCATGGAACAATTATTGCATGGAATAAAATTACTTCGGTGATGTCCTCATATCAGCCGAGGACAAAGAACAATTATAAGAACATTTAAGGGAAGTCTTCAGCTGGTTCAAAGAGGTGAGGTTAAAAGTCAAAAAGGAAAAATGCCAGCTATCAGCCAACAAGGTAGAATTCCTGGGCTATTTAATAGACAGTGAAGGGAAGACAGTAAAATTAAAGCAATCAAAGAAGCCTCCAGGCCAACAAGCAAAACAGACTTGCAAGCCTTCCTTGGTCTCATTAACTTTTACCATGTATTCTTACCCCAGAAGGCAACAGTGGCAGAGCCACTCCACAGAGTGCTTGACAAGAAAGCAGCCTGGGTTTGGGGGCAAAAAGAAGAAGCAGCATTCCAAGAGATCAAGAGCATAATTACATCAGACCGCATACTAATCCAGTACAATGAGACTTTACCATTAATATTAACTTGCAACGCATCACCATTCGGGGTCGGCGTGATCAGTGACATCTTACTGAACAGAAAAGAAGCCCTAATAGCCTTCTACTCAAAGACATTATCCAAACAGGACTTATAGCCAACTAGACAAAGAAATGTTAGCTGCAGTCACCAGAATCAAGCAATTCCACGAATACGTATACGGAAGAAAGTTTACACTAGTCACAGACCACAAACCACTCTTGGGCATCATCGCAGGGGACAGAGCCACACCGACCATTTTGTCCCCCAGAATGACTTGTTGGATAGAATTCCTGGCTGCCTATGACTACAAATTAATCTACAGGCCAGGACGAGACATTGACCATGCAGACGCACTGAGTCAATGCCCCCTACCCATCCAGGAAGAGGATCCAGCGCCAGCGACAACCATACTCCAGATAGAAACATTTCATCAAACATATGCCCCCTACCCATCCAGGACATATGCCTACCCTACCCAGCGATGCCCCCTACCCATCCAGGAAGAGGATCCAGCGCCAGTGACAACCATACTCCTGATAGAAACATTTCACCGAACACCAGTAACAGGAACCGATATTGCGAGAGCAACACTAAAGACGGAACACTGGTGTGCGTTTTGGACTGGGTAGGGAGAGGGTGGCCTGAGAGGGAAAAAGCCGATGAAACTAAACCATTCCAGAATAGGCAAACGGAACTATCAATAAAGGGTGCGTACTGTGGGCGGATCGGGTAATAATTCCCGAGATTTTAAGGGATGATATAATGGAAATGTTGCATGTGGGGCATCCGGGGATAGTGAGAATGAAATCCCTGGCAAGGAGCAATGTATGGTGGTCAAGGATGGATAAAGAAATAGAGACACGGGTATCTGCCTGCAAGGTTTGCCAGGAACACAGGCCAGCATCACCCATGGCACCCAACCATGAGTGGGAAACACCAAGGGGGCCTTGGTCAAGGGTACATATTGATTTCGTGGGGCCAGTAAAGGGACACACATTTTTTTTATCATTGTGGATGTATATCCTAAATGGCTGGAAGTCAGCATCATGCAGTCCACAACAACAGAGGCAGTCATTAGAAACCTAAGGAAACTATTTGCCACACACAGCCTGCCAGACATACTTGTATCTGATAATGAGCCCCAGTTCATGGCCACCCATTTTGAGGGTTTTCTAGCACAGAACAGGATATGTCATTCCCTATCGGCACCTGGACATCCATCGACGAATGGTCAAGTGCAACGCATGGTCCAATACACGAAAGAGACTCTCCAGAAACTGGGGCCAGGGGACACACAAGTGAAAATAGATAAATTATTAAGCATACAGCACATAATACCCAGTGCAACAACAAATAAAAGCCCTGCCGAACTACTCATGGGAAGAAAGTTGAGATCACCATTAGACAGATTACACCCCACATACAACCAGACAGACCCCTAGATTTATCCAGCAAATGCCGGACGTTCCAAACAGGCGATCCAGCTTACGCTAAAAACCTAACGGGAACCTCTATGGTGCTGGTGAGGTGGGCCAAGTAACGGCCCCATTCTTACAGGGTCAACACAATGGATGTCCGAAGCTGGAGAAGAGACATAGATCAACTAGGAACCCGAGGGACATTGGGTAACACGGGCATAAATAGAGAGGAAGGGGGAGACCCTTCCCACAGACTCACTCAGAGAGGAAGGGGGAGACCCTGTCCAAACAAGAAATAACACAACAGGTTATAGTGGCTAGCGAGACACAATCTCAGCAGCTAAGAATAGCACCGAAAGCACTGAATGGAATTAGCAGACACTTACTGGCCACACTCTCACTCCCTGTCAACTGCTCAGCCTCCCCCTCTGAATCAGATTCTGATGGGCATGACACTCAGAGCTCATTGTAACAGCATTGCCAAAAAGGCATTAAGAATTGTTAACCTAATTTTGTGAAGCTTCTTCTCTGGTAAGATTAAACCACTAAGGGCATACAAAACCTTTGCCAGACCAATTCTTGAATATAGCTAATCTGCATGGAATCCAATGTACAATGGACATTAATAAAATTGAACGAGTCCAGTGGTATTTCTCGAGAAGAATACTCCACTCCTCAGCTCGCAATGGAATATCTTATGCCACCAGGCTGGAAATTTTGGACTGAGACAACTTAGAACTACACCGCCTACTGTCTGATCTAAGCTTAATATACAAAATTGTCTGCTACAACGTGCTACCTGTCAATGACTACTTCAGCTTCAGCCACAATAACACATCGGGAAACAATAGATACAAACTCAAAGTAAACTGTTCAAAACTCGATTGCAGAAAATACAACGTCAACAACAGAGTGGTCAATGCCTGGAACTCACTACCTGACTCATTTGTTACATCCTCAAACCCCCAAAACTTTAACCTTAAACTGTCTACCTCACTCGATTCCAAAGAGGTTTGTAAGGGGGCATGCATAAGTGCGCCAGCATGCCTACTGTCCCTGTCCTACTATTCCTATTTATTTGTACTCATTTATATGAGTACAAAAATTTAACATTTATATATTATGTTCATACTTATACTTGTTTTCTCATATGTGCTTGACAAACTAAATAAAATAAAATAAACTAAAAATATTTAACTTTTGGACTGAAATATTTTTGTTATGTTTGCATAAATGTGTGTAAGGTAGTTATTGATTTATTCATTTAACAAAAGTTCAAAGTTACAATGGCATTTGAAAAAGTGATGTACAACCTGTTCTTCAAGTTATTACTGTTGCACCACCCTGGCAGTTATATGATCACAATTTATGTGCTCGGCATATAGCTCACATTTATGACCAGTTGCAATGTTCTGTGTTCACATGATCGCAATTTGCAACCTTCTCAGCTGGTTTCCAACAAT